AATTACCCTGATTTCATTACCATGATAAAGAAAAGACTTGGACTTGTCACACTTTGCAGTTTTTTTTTTTTTTAATAGAGAATAACTATACTTTGCATAGATATATTCATTCTCACTTTGTACTTTTATATATTTTTTTATTTTTTATATAATATTGTGAAAAGTCATAAATTGATTCCAATATGACTCTCAAATTAACGTCAAACATTCATTTCAAATTCTATTAAAATTTGATGCACATGTCACTTAAGAATATGAACGGTGAATTTATATTTTTTTTCAAAAATAACACATGTGAGTGATATATATATTAATTTTTAACAAAATTTTAAACGAATGTTGTGCCACGGATAAAACCAATTCACACTAAAAAAATTATCTCGACAACTCTTGGAATGCAAAGTGCGAAAATCCCCCATACCATCTTTCCGTTTTAACGCCTTATGGCCTTGGAGGGCTCGGAGCACCTGGGTTCAGCAAGAACAAGACTGACAGGCAGCTGAACGAGAGACAAAGAAGAAAAAGCCGCAAGTCAAACGCAACCCCCTCGATCACAATTCACCAACTAAANTGTTCTAAGCGATCGACGTGAGAGTCAAAATCCTGGGAAAACTGCAAATTTTCAGCAAACACAATTCCTTCTGCTCTGCTCCACCGTCGGGCACAACAATATTTGCCATGTGTGAGTTGATGTTATCCACCTCTTTGTTATAAAGATGAGAGCNGCAAACACAATTCCTTCTGCTCTGCTCCACCGTCGGGCACAACAATATTTGCCATGTGTGAGTTGATGTTATCCACCTCTTTGTTATAAAGATGAGAGCCAGTAGATGAAGGGATATTGAGAATTTATTGTGAGAGTTGGTAGCATCACACTGTTGGTTTGCAGTCGATCTAGAAGACGTAAAGTTGGATCAAATTTTAACCGATAATTGGTCTATTCAATGTACAGTAAATATTGATATTCACTATGGGGGCGTTTAGATGGTGGGTTAAAGGTGGTTATCCCTAGTAGGATGGGATAAAATAAGAGAGGGACTAGATATCCCTTGTTTGGGAAGTTATTTTTGAGGTTGGATACAAATCTCGGGTCTAGCTTAGACCCGGTTGCTACAGTACTTTGTAACCAATCTACTAAGGTTAAAATTAACCCACCCCTCTCATGGGTTACAAACCCAGCCTACAGGTTAACAAGAGATCAGACATATTTACCCCCTCATTTCTCGTTGTTTCACTCTCGTCCAAGCTTCACTGATGTTGTCAACAAGGGATTGTTGCACAGAGGTGACGAAGAAGACACGGATTCAAGCATCTTCGAATATTCTTCTCTTCATCTTAAAGGATGATTTTTTTTTTTTT